CAGGGGTATGGACATGGATAAAGACCCAGCACAGTAATAGTCTTCTAGATCTCATACTGCTCTTTAGTTTAGAGCTCTAACAGTATGAGCTCAAACTGTTCTTTACAGTAGTTTTTTTAATGATCTTACCAAGTGGCAAGAGCATACAATTGCTCTGTGAAAGTTAGTCACAGCTCAGAGGTGTGAACCTCTGGGTGAGTTCTGAGAGGGTGGCATACCTGGAGAAGCAGATCCGAGGCGGGCTTGATCTTCTGCTGGAACAAAATACTCAGCGCCCGATTCTGCTGCTCGAGGTCAAAAACTCTGGTTCGCAGCTTCAGACATTCTTCTCTCAGATCCTGGTTTCAGAGGAAACGTGAACTTGTGTATATAACAATCATTATATACAGTGCTTAACAGGTACATCACAATCAAAATGCATCACGTGTCATAATTCCAAAAATCAAGATTTCACTAATCAATAAAGTTAAATAAAGATAATGTTGTTAAAAGTGATTTGAGAGGAATAGATAGTTTCCATGGAGAAAGACAAACCTTCTGGGTGAGAAGTGCCTGCACAACTTGATTGGCAACCTTAAAGAGACAGAAAGAATGAAAAAGAAGCCATCACTGAATGTAATTTGGTTGCTCTGGCACACTGATAAGGTCTTGACCTCGGATGATCCCTTACAGGCCTCTGTAGACTGCCCTCGCACCACTAACACTGCACTTTGCTGCCCTTCCTCAACCAATTTACACATGTGATAGATTACTATGAGCCAAAGCAAAGACAATACATATATGTATAAAGATTTTATATATAGAGCTTATTTCCTAGTATCTGGTATGTGTGCAAAATGAGAATCTCTTAACTCTCTCTCTCCCTAATGGTGGTATTGACAGTGCTGAGCTGGTGTAGCATCAGAGGTGTGCCTGGTTTAAGTGCTGTTGTGCCTAGGCTTCGGTCTCTCAGCGGCTCACACCCAGCCACAATCAGACCACAACGCCGATGGAGAAGCAGCTCCGATTACTGTCCATTGATTGCTCATTAATACTGTGTGAAGCCGCATGGGCTCTTTTGAGTGCACTCGCTCTTGTTTATTGAATGAGGAGAAATGGGAGTAAATATGGTGAAATGAGCCCGGCTGCTGGAACTGCAGTTTAGTGCTCTGCCTCTTGTATAACAGGTGAATGATCAAACAAAACCCGACTTAATGGTCTGGGACAGAGTTTGAACTCTCACAGTCAATGTATGACTTTGATGCAAGTAATTAAACTACAAATGAGCTTGACCACACACTAAAATTTATACAGGCAGGTGGCCCAACATAAAAAAATAATCATCCTTTTTGTTACAAAGCAAACTTTAGGGTTTCCACTGTTATTCTGTGCAGAAGGTAAGATACACACAGCTTCCATCATTAAAACAGAGTCATTACCAAGTCTTCTTTCTACAAAAGTCAACCACATGGGAAAATACTTTAAACGTAACGAAGCAGAGTTGAGTGATCTTAGTGAGGCCAAGGAAGCAAAGGAGACAAGGGCTGATTTTACCTCAAGTACAAACTACAGAGGATGTAAACTCTAACAAAAATACATCACTAAATTCTCCTCTTGCCATTTGCATTTATCACTCATCATCTATTTTCTTCCTCACCCTTTCCTCTTTCATTCCCCCATCTCCTCTACCCCATCTTCCCACCCCCCGGTTGGTTCCAGGACAAATTGGGCAACTTGTCCCTGATGGAAAATCTTCTCTGTAGCAGTATTCCCCTCCCTGCTGGAGTGATTCAGCAAGCAGGCTCAGGCGAGCGCCAGGCTGGTTTATTCCCCTCATGTGGCTCACTAAACAGCACTTATGAAGCTCTCATAATAAATAACCAGAGGCCACAAAAGTGGTATTGTTATGTAAACCATTGCTTCAGCAACACCAGTTCACATCAGTTTAAGGATATTTAACAGCTTGCATTTAGACTGTTCCTTACAAAATGAATCCCAAACACAAATAAGGTGTTTTGACCATTAAATACAGGTATGACGTGTCACATTTGTGCAAGTAATACTCTGAAGTGTACCTGCAAAAAATCATCCTCTCTGGCATTTCAACAGAAATGAAAAGCATGAAAAATAATGAGCATCCTGATTGTTTTTTTTTCCCCCATTATTTCAGATTTGAGGGTGCTACTGTTCAAACTTAGCTTAGTACAGCTCAAGCATACTAGTCTCTTTATTAAAGTGGGAAATGAGATTTTAGTCCTGGAAAAATATGAGACTGTTTTCCAAATGATCAGTTAATATCAACAATTCACACTGCCTCCATCAAACAAGTACACTGCCAACCTGTGGGAAACAAAATAAGCTCTACAGGACCTCATTAAAACCTTAATCTTAAGCTTCACAATGCTACTCATTCTGTTTACATGGAGTCACTAAAATTTCAACAAACACTGGACAGTTCAAGGAAAGTAAAACAAGTGGCAAGTTACACAGCCCCCTTGAATGTGTCTTGGAGCAAGACAAGATAAACAAGGTGCACACTCACCTCATCTAGACAGCGTTCATACTGCTCCCTCTGGCTCTCATTCTCCGTGGCCAAGGCAGAATTCTCCTCCTGCAAACACCACACAGACACATTCAGGGCCAATGCTGCACAAAACTCGCAGTGACTTTGGCTACACTGGACACAACAAAACAACAGCGATGGAGACAGAAGTAGCAATCAAGTGGAGCTGCAGCTAAGACGAGAGTTGCTTCACAAAGGTCATATGTCAACACTAAACCAAGATGGCCAATAAAAATGTACAAAGAACCACAGAGAAAAAGGTCAAGGGGATGGAAGTTATCATGTTGAACTTTGGGCCGGCAGCTGGCCATCTGAAGTTTGGACCTAATAAGAATATCTCCTCTATTTGCCAATCGATGAGGCAGCACCCTATTGATCTCTGGGAGATTCCAATTTGTCAAAGGCAGGCTGCATATTAGGAGCTGTCAGCTGGTCTTGGTTCTTTTACCCTCTGCCCTTTAGCAGAAAGTAGTAATCCCCCAATGAAATCAGGAGAAACATAGTTGCAACCAAAAACATTCCAGGTACACCACTTAGGAAGAAACATGGACTAGACTTAAAAATAAAATTTCCACTCACATACCATTCACAACACATTAGAAGCACAAGCTAAGTTATTAATTTGAGGTTATGAGATAACTTTAACTAGGGAAACTCTTATTTATATTTAAAGCATGTTCATGGACCACACTCCTGTCATGACGTGTATAAGAAATCAGCAACAGTCAGCACTACACCAACACAAGTCTACGAGCAGATGGGCAATAGGCATTTCTGCAAAAGTCTGAGTATATTCATTTCAGCCCCAGTTACAGACTACAGTGCACGCCTGCCAAGTTAATGAACAGTATCAGTTGAGCTGGAGAAATAAAAGCAGGGCAGTGCTTACTTAGTGTCAGTGGAGTTTATGCACAGTGCGGGGCAGTGATGTATTGTTTCTGCCTTGTTCTTGCTGCTTTAGCTGTGGTACATCGATCACCCGCACAGCAGAATGGAATAAAACGGCAAATAACTTTTGATAGAGCCATTTAAAATGTAATGGTTATGTAATGTGCTTCATCAGATGGATCACCAAGACAGGTTAAAGATACTTCCTGCCAGTCTGTGTGGATAACTTACAGCTGAGGAGCAACAGGCAATTATCTGCCACTTTGCTGTAATTAGAGTCTATTTTCTATCTGGGAGGCATTAGTGGAATGCTGAAAATCAAGACAAAACACATCCTAAGGACTTTTGTTCTTTTTACTGATTCTCTTTCTTTCTGTTTTGGATGTTCCTTCTTTATGTATGTTCACCAAAATAATCACCCTGAATGAATATGGCTTTATTTCTTAAACACATGCCTGTACTTGGATGTCAAGGTGTCAGCCATATTGTTGAATTCTGACATCATTATCTTTTTGAAAATCTGGAAATGATTTGATATAAGACAAGGACTGTATGTGACATGTGTTCCACTACATTGGTATTAGGAGCTACTCTGGAATGAGTCGGTCAGACAGGAGGCCTAATTTTATTAAATTTGAGTCCTTTAACTGCTGAATACATCTGAGAGGTGTGTCCAGTGGCTTTGGTAAAAAACAACAAAACAAACAAACAAAAAAACAATGTGCATGGATCACTGTGGCTGCACTCCCACCTCAGATGCTGCTGCTTAGCGCTCATGGTGGAGTGCAGCTCAAATCCCCGAGCGCAGAGGAAAACAAACCAAAGCTGGAGGACAGCCTGAGGCCCCTGTGGCGCCTCTTACATGAAGATTTTGCTCTCCAAATGAAGAATACTGGAGAATTTGATGAACTGTCATGCTTTCAGACACATCTGAGCAAAGGCTCTGACAACTGGCAGACAGGCTGGCCACAAAGGATAGCCAGAGGTGGCTGGAAAGTATGCATGTGAAGTTGAATGAAGAGGCAGGACTGAAGGAGAACAAAGCAGAAAGAGGGTAGGTAAAGAAAGGAAACAAAGGGAAAGTCAAAGCAGTAAAAATATAGAGAAAAAAGAAGTTACCTCAAGAGCCTTGAGGCGCTCTAGTAGGAGTTTGGTTTTGTCTTTGTTCTCTTCTGCCTGGCTGGCATCAGGATCGGCGCTCACCAGCAGCCCGGAGTCCGCTTGAGTGGCCGGTGGGGAGCCATTCTCTGTGGAGCCATCATGCTGTTTTTGCACTTCCTCTGAGAATTTATCCTGATGCACAGATAATAAGATGAGATCAGAGGGAGAGAAAATCAAGGAGATGAAATATGAAATTTGGCAAGTAAAAACCTGAGCAGATGGGAAGAAAGTGCTCAAAAGAGAGATGAGAAATGTTTCAGGGGGAAATGAAAAACGGGTAAGGAGCCGTGAAAGGCAGAAATCAGAGGAAAGGGGAAACTGAAAGATGTGGAAGAAAGGAGAGAGGATCAGATGGGCAGAAGAGACAAGAGGGAGGCAGCTTCGACAACAGAGCTCCAAAAACACCCTCTAATCCCTAATCATGTTTCACTTGTTTTCCAAAGAGTGGCAGTGACCTTGAGGACTCTCATCCTGTCTGTATTATGGGGATCCATCTTCACCCTCACTGTTTCGGTCTCTCTCAGTCTCTTTGCCAGCTATCTGTTTCTCTTTTCTCATGTTTTTTTTTTTTGGCTTCCTGGCATCTGTGATAATTAAGTATGGGCAATAATTAGCTAGTAATTAGGAACTTTCTGGCTAGAATCACACTGCAAAAAGAAAACACAACGAGTTCTCTGTTACACTCAAGAGATTATCATCTTTCTTCAAGGACTCTCTCTTTAGAGCATGAACATATGTACTCAGTGACTGAACATCTATAGCAATATGTAATGAAATAAAGGTCATTGCAACAGCATGTTTGAGCTAGCAAGGGTAGAACAATGTTTTTCTTATTTCTTTTAATAATCTTATGAAACTCCACTTTAATTTGTCACCTCTTCAAGTGGTCCCTGCCCTCTGGTTGGGAATCAATGGACTTAAACAGTCAGTCAAACACATAACTGAGAGGAATAATTAGTAATGAAAAAAGTAACTGATTACTACAGTAAACAGATTAACTGCAGGCTTTAATTAAAAGTGCAACTATAAAATGCAAGCTTCAATCAGAAAGGAGGGATTAATCATACTCTACATACAAATATGAGTTACATTTCAATTACAATAACATCACAAAACTGTAGTTTTTTTTTTTTCCAGCTGCACTGAGCTATTCACTTATACGTTTTCCTAACAATGGAGTTAATACTATATCCTTCAGCTGCGTCTTCAGTGAGGGAGCAAGGCCGACTCTGAATGAAGCTTTTCTTCAAATGACACAGAGGTATTCAGTTATTATTGCGATAGATCACTGTGCACATGCATTACACTGCCTCATCCTAAAACCTTTGTCCAATTTATTAGGTAACCTTTACAATTGTATGCACTTCAATGCAACATTTCCACCTTAACATTTGTGTTTATGAAGCTCAAAATGTGTCAGTTTTTGGTAAAATTGTCATAAATGTATAAATCCAATTATGTTTATTATTGAGGTCATAGTTAAAGGTGATGTTGTACTGGACTACATTATATTCAGAAGTGTTCCTATATTTTTGTCTTCCCCAGCTACATACACGAGAGGGTCAGAATATTAGGAACAGCTCTGAATATAAAATAGTCGAAAGGCTCAAATTGGTCAAATGGTCCAAAAAGGTGCAAATTAAACATTTCTTTTCTTTACCGTTTCATTTAGGTCTAGGTCTCAGGTAATAAACTCAATTGAGTGCCTTTTTTTTTTGCTGGCATGCTACATTTTTGTATTACAGTATATTTTGTTAGAATTTGTATCACATGTACATTGCCAAGCTGATCATTTTATACAGTTGTGTGAACAAGTAAGCAGCTTTCTTTAACCAAAATAGATTATTCCTTAGAGCAGCTTTGCTGCAGTTCAACTTCTTCCTGTGTGAAGTAATTGGTAGCTTGTAAAGCTATGCTTTCAAAGTAGCTTCTCCAACAGTGCTGATGGATGGCTCCAAATCAGCATTTATATATCCAAATGCAGCAGGGAACAAGTTGCTTTCTTTCCTAATAGAAACGGGAAAAAGTCCTTCAGAGCACTTTGTTTTCAGCTTATCCAATCTTCTCTAAACGTATATTAGGTTTTCAATCTTGTTTGATTCCATCAGACAATTGTGTTCAAGGCAATATTTTATAGCCATGGTTTTAGGTTTGCTTTTTTTTGTTAGGGCTAGGTATGTGAAGTCTGAGGTTTGCTTCCAGAGACTGCTCATCAGACAGCACTAAAAGGGCTGAGTAATAATAATCCACAGAGAGAGTCTGGAGTGGGAAAGTAGAGGGAACCTTGTCCCTCACGCTGCCCTTTCAAGTTATTGAGTTTGTCTACTGAACACACAGAATACGGCTGCAGCAAAAGCAAATCACTGCATAGGATCAGTACAGTTATACAGCAACTGTGAATAGCATAATAACACTCCACGTGTATTCTCTTTGACGATGCTGAATACAGGAGCAAAGCGTGTCATACAGTACCAAACATACTGTACATGCGTGAGGAAGGAAAGAGATTTAAAACATTTTCCCTATCAAGTTGTACAGCTCTTCAACTGACTGAAATCTGCAACAATCCTACTCAATCAATAGCAGATAATACTGCACAGAGTTAAACCAACACGTCACTGACACAGTGCATGCTTAGACAAACAGCTGTCCCTAGAGACATGCTGCTACACATCGTTCCTTGGTTGGAACTTCTCAAATGCAAAGAACTTGTTCTTTTTTTTTGGATGATTTCATTTTCAATATAATGTTTTGGGGTTTTTTGGGACATAACAAGCAATCTGAAAATGTCACCTTGGGCTCAGTGAAGAGTCTAATATTTCACTATTTTTTGACATTTTATAGACTAAAAAATATTGACCAATCAAGAAAATAGTTAAGCAAGTTTCATGTAATGGAAAAAGATGCTCAAAATAAATTTTCACTTAATATGAAATCAGATTATTTGGGCATGAACCCAGGTCACCAGAGATGAAAATATGTATTACTCCACCAACACTTCAGCTTCCACTTTCTATCAAACTTGTCAAACATTTGATTTATTTATTTATTCTTTCAAGCATGTAAAGACATTTGATATATCAACACATAATTTTACACATATCCAACAAATGCTAATCCAATATCAATTTGCTTATACCTAGTACATGCTTGAATGGAGTAGGAAGAAGTCAGACTTATCCAGTCCTACCCCATGACATCATCTTACCATCATTGGTTTGCAAGCAGTAAATGATTCACTTCTACCACACAAGCATTATACTAAAAAAAATATAACAGAGTGTTAACATTCTTACATAATTACATTCTTAAATAATTATCTTCTACACCACACAAGTAATATA